CCGGTCACAATGACCGGCAATTTCAATTTCCCTACTACCAGACAGTTGGGGATGGAGAGGAAGGCTTTTTGATCTAAACGTATATCGAAACTCCACCCCCGCTCAGGCTATCGCAAGATGCGGCCAGTATTTCACCGAACTGGGACAGAAAGGCCGCGAGAACCTGAGGAGGGACCTCATATATTGAAACCCTGGTCCTTCTTCGGCCTAGGTACTTGGTCCGCAGGATCAGATCTTTGGTGATCAAGTCCTTGCTCGAAGCTGCCACGCAATCTTCCGGCGTGGGTAACAATACGTCCCACATGAAAAAGCCGGCTCCTTTCACAACTCTGAGGGGCTTGAACCCCAAGGACTCCAGTGATTTTATCACTGTGTCTTTCGTCGAGCGACAAATTTTGCGCGTACGCTTGTCCACGACGAAAACTGACACTATTCGTGTTTCAATTTTTCTTAGTTCCTGGGCGTCTTCTAAGAGTCCACCTTCTACGACAAGGTGTGCGTAGCTCTTAGCTCGCTCCAAGAAATCCGCTACATTGATAATACAACTCGGGGGCGGGGGACTTCCAACAAGAGGGCAATTCCCCGGCCTCAGTCTTTCTTTGAGAGCCATTTCTTGGCTTTCGTGTCAATTAGGTTTTATGGCCATTATTGGCCTCCGTACTTTTTTATTTTTTTTTTCACTTTTCTTATTGCCATTACAGGCCTCCATAAAAAAAAAGTACAAAAAAAATTTTCATTTTTCCCAGCGATGTCATCCTCGCTAGGGGAACTTTGATCTAAGGCTGGGTATTCATTTTAGGTTGTCTTTATCCGGTGGGTCTTTCTTTGGGGGTTAAATAAATGTTTTCTTATAGACTTTCTGTAGTCTGATAAATTTGGGTTTTTTTTATAGCTAAAAAAGGAATACAAAGCTTTTTTTTCCTTCTTTTCCATTTTTTTTTATATTAAAAAAAAAGGGGAAAAGAAAAGGGATGATGAATAAAAAAAAAAAAAAATAAAAAATAACACAAAAAAAACACAAAGCTCGGAACAAACGAAAGCGAGACAAAAAAAAAAGGAAATGTAGAATAAAAACAAAAAAAATAAAATAAATAAAAAAATTAAACAAAAAAAAGTTCGCCTAACGGTGAAACAATAAAAAAAAAAAAAAAAAAAAAAAAAAAAAAAACGAAAAAACGCTAGACAAAAAAAAAAGAAAAACAAAGAAAAAATACGAAAGTATGCTAAAAAATAGGCAGAGCTAGTTATAAATTTACAAAATGGATCCGACACCAAAACAAATAAACAATAGAAAATTATACCAAAAACGTTAGAACAAAATAAATGGACAAAATATGGACAAATAGACAGCAAATAAAGGTTAAAAAAATTAATTAGACAAATATACAATACAAAAAAAAAAAGAAAAAACACGGAAAACTTAAATGATATTAAAAAGGAAAGAATAAAAGAATTATTAACGGTAAGTCAAAACAAAAACGAAACACAGACAGGGGTTCAAAAACAAAACGAAAACGGAGATATAATTAAAAGAGAAATTAGAAAATGAAAAAAAAAAAGGAAATCTAGAATAAAAGGAAAAACAAAATTGTAATATTCTGCTCATGAAAAAAACATATCCTTTTTTTAACGTAGATAAAAAAAAAAAAGAGGAGGGTAAAAAATAAAAAAAAAAAAATCAAAATCTTTTACAAAAAAAAAATTCGTAAGAACACAAAAAGACAGTAATAAAAAACAAACTTAACAAAAATGACGTTCAATACGCAATCGACAATATCAAGAGCAGACGGGCGTCAAAATAGCAGTCAACAAAGGTCTAGTTATTCAAATATAAAAATTGAAAAAAAATCTATATTTCTGTAGATGCACAAGTTGTCTGCTCTTGGTTATTATCCGAGAAAATAAAAACAAAAAGCCTGTATACAAAAAATAGCTTAAAAGACATACAGCAGATGACGAAATAAATTTATGAAAAAATGCACTGGAAATTAATTACAGGTATGTCCCAACTGGGGAAAACCCTGCTGACCTACTATCCAGAGGCATTTCTACAGAAAAAATTAGTCAGAACCTGGAATATTGGACACTCAGACCAAAATGGTTAAGATTTAATAGAAAATCCAGTGTCATGGCCAATTTGCAATCTGAACTGTTTAGTCTTGACAAATAAAAATGTAGCCCAATCCAATGTCCTACATAACACAGAACCAAAAATAGAACCTGTGATATCTTTTGAAAGATTTTCCGAATTCTCAAAAGTGCTTTAGAGTGTTGGGGATGTGCAGAATTTTTTAATTGTAATTGAGAGAATCAGAAGGAATTTGTGTAGGTTGCGTGACTTTCTGCATCCACAAACAAATAAATAAACGAATTTTAAATACAATCAAAAACAAGGCATATTCAATTTAGAAACCAATAAAACATTTATATACAATTCAAAGTAATATATATACAGGATATTTTGGTATATGTTACTATGGCAAAGTGTGTGCGATATTTTAGGTTTCGGTATGTCTCTCATAGTATTTGTATGTTCATTTACAGTCTTTTTGGGTTTGTGTTAATATTAAAATTGTCGATATTAAGTGTTTTTTGGAAGGAGTTCTTATAGAGTGATCTACCTGTGACTAATATTTCTGAATCGTTCGAAAGTTGATTTTTACTTAATATGTAGTGAATATAATTCACTTTGGATAAGCAAAGTTGTTTTAGGTTTGCGATTCGATGTCCACAGGGTTGGTCGAGTTTAAATTGCAAGTGAGTCAGCGTTGATGTACTTTTGCACGGTAAAGTCGTGATTTCGAGTGACGTGGAGTATGTTGGTAATTTCTCTGTGGATGTTCGTCTCTGACTGCTTTGGTCAGTCGGCGTTTTCTTTTATATCTTCTGAAAGTCCAATATCGGCTTAAAGAAGTTTTGGCGCAATTTTGTTTTGCACGTGAAACTTTCAGATTATTGTGTCGTTAACCAATGAGATTTGTTGATTCGCCTAGTACGGTTTTTATTGGTCGAAGTTTTCCGTACGTAGGCGTAAGATATTGACTGTTCTGTTACTAGGGGTGATAGGTAGGAAAGGACGAGTCTACAAGAGCAACGACATTTTTGTTAAAATTTATCAATATAAGTAAACGTCTTGAAGACCATTCTGACCCTAGACATGTAGAATGGCTATATTTAATTAAAATCATGCAGTAACACTTGTTTAGTAGGGAAATAGAATACCTGAAATGCCGTAATAATGAAGAAATTCCAGATTTAGTAAGGAAACTGAACCTATTTCTAGACCCTGCTGGCATATTACGAGCTGACGGTAGAACTGCTCGTAGCCTAATATATGGTTTTTATTTACTTGACGTCCTACTGAGTTAGGTTGTGACACAAAGTCGGTTTTTAACGTGGGAACCCGAGTGTCTTCACTCGCGCCACTGGTCTTAGCTGGTCATAGCTTGTCCAAGATTGTCATAGCTTGTCCAAGATGGTCATAGCTGGTCCACGCTAGTCAGAGTTGGTCTACGCTAGTCATAGTTGTGATGCTAACAGCGCAGAGACGGATCCCTGTAACCAGCAAGTATCCGAATGTGTATATCCCTCCAAGGAGGGGTTTACACACTCGAGCCCAATATATGGTTATGAACTAACCTTACCAATCGCCAGACAGCATCCTTTAACTGAGATGATAATTAAAGAGTGTCACCACATATGCAAATATTTCGTCATCAATGCAACATTTACCATATTGAGACACTTATGATTTTGGGTCTCTCAGGCGCGATAAGCAGTAAAAAGTGTAATATCAAAATGTTATATAACGTATATACTCGCGTATCACGCGACCTTTGAAGACCTAATTTTGAAGCTAATTTGGTTCAGTAAATGGATATAAAGTTTGGTCAACAGTATAGCCAGGACCAGCAGTATATACTCCAATTTTATATCTCGTGTATGATGCGATCCCCTTAAAATTAGGTATTCAAAAGTCGCATGATACGCGACTGTATACGGTATGTAAAATATTTGACAACTTAACCTTTAGGTACCCAAAGCTAACCAATCTGCCCAAACATAAGGTTGGGTTAGTCAAGCCCTTCAAACAAACCGGCATAAATTACATACCAGACATTTATACATCCAAAGAGGAAATAAAGCTGAAAAATGAATCTTTTGATTTTACCTGCCTAAGAGTTATTCACGTCGAAATTGTGCCGGTTATCAGTACTCAAGCCTTTATTAAAGTATTAATAAGGTCCTGCAATTCTTATGGCAGATCCTGACATCTGTACAGTGACAACGCAAGATCGTTCAGCGCAGCATTAGGAGGTAAAAAACACCATGTAGATAGCAATGAATTCGATAAAAGATTTGGAAACTGCTCAAGCAAACACATAAAAATACCATTATATTGTTGAGGATGTGTGTAGAATTAGAAAGTATCAGAAGGTTTGAATGGTAAGAAGGCTAGTTACAATGGGTGTGTTCAACGATATTAATCGACAACAATATAAAAAGATGAGCATACAAAACGAATTAGTTGCAAGGTAATTCAATAAGAAACAACGGTATTTTAGGTTTCGATAATAACAACAGACATTTATATACAATTTATATACACATAGTGAACTTGTGATTGAATAATGCAAGAATTGACCATGTATTGATTTGATGCCTTAATAATTCACATTATTCAAGATTGTTCATGTATTTAAACAGGTTAAATTGTGTAGAATGGAAAATGTCACTTATGTAGAAATAAATATTAGTTCGTGTGCGTGATGAAAGTAGGAAATAAATGCCTTAAGTCTTCAGGAGTTGTTCACCTTGGGCTGGTTTGTTTTTATCTGTTTGCTGATTACAATTTCTATTTTGGTAGTGAATTTTATCACTCTTTTTAGTAAATTGTAGATAGAGTTCTTGAGAGAGTTTAGAGTTCGTACTTGCGTGAATGTTGGTAATGATCTTTAACGCCTGACCGCACGGTTAAGACAAGAGTTCTTGAAGGTCACATTTTGGCAAAGGAATGAGAGAGAGAGAGAGAGAGAGAGAGAGAGAGAGAGAGAGAGAGAGAGAGAGAGAGAGAATGTGAAATTGCTTCCCATAAACACCTAATTGCTTCATACATATCAATGTTAACAATTGATGTGAGGCCAAAGTTGGGACCACAGAAGTAAAACACGGAACACTGATTAGAAGTAAGAAAGATATATTAACAACAGGTTACAGAAATAGTGTAAGCAGAGCTTACTATAAGTTAGTGTCCAACACTAGTAGTCGTACTAGACTCTCACTGTCTCTCTCTGTCACTCTCTAGAGTGCTATGTCGCCTACTTAATATAGGCCTGGAAGAGTCTATTGTGTAGGTAGTTTCCGGTCTCACAATACCCCCCTTCCAAAGAGTTTTCTTTTTGAAAAGGAGAGAAAAAAAAACTGTTAATACTTTTTCCTCTTGGGCTTTACGTCGAGCGGTTGAGTAAATTTCCTTTTTCTTCCTGAGCGTCGCACTTCAGGAGAAACTTGGGGCATATCGAGATCGAACTAGAGATCACGATGCGTGAGCCACAGCTTTTCGCGAACCGTCTAGCAGTTTATGTAATATGCAAGCGCCTATGCCGTACGAGCTTGCATCACTTGCGACTGTGATATCGAGACTAGTGTCGTAATAGGTGAGGGAGAGGTCTGAAGTAAGAGTTTTCTTGATCTTCTCGAATGCGTATTGGCATTCCGGGGTCCATGACCATGATTTGTCATTTTTTAAAAGTTGGTTGAGAGGCCCTCTCAAATTTTGCATGTTCTTAATGAACCCTTGGTAAAAGTTAGCTAGGCCGCGGAAGCTTTGTAACGCTTGAACGTTATCTGGGGCCGGCATGTTTCTGATCGCGTTGGCTCTTTCTGGATCCGGCCGACGACCGTCTTTATTTATAATGTGACCTAAGTATTTAATCTCTGGTAAGAAAAAGTCACACTTTTCCTCCTTAACCTTAAATCCGTATTCTTGTATCTTTTCGAATACGTTTATTATATGGTTCCGTTGCTCTGCCATAGTTTTACTGGTAACCAGTATATCATCCAAATAGGCTGTTGCGTAGTCAAGGTCGCCCAGCTTGGCGTCCATGACCTGCTGGAAAATTGCAGGCGCAACCTTTACTCCAAAAGCCAGTCTGTTGTATTTGTACAACCCTCTATGGGTGTTTATGCAGAGCAATTTGGAACTTTCTTCTTCCACCCCTATCTGAAGGTATACGTCCGAGAGGTCAATTTTAGAAAAATGTTTTCCACCATTGAGTTTATTGAAAATTTCTTCAGGGCTTGGGAGAGGATAGTGGTGATCTTGCAAGGCATCGTTTAACCCTGTGGAAAAATCTGCGCATACTCGTATTTGATTGGACTTCTTTTTACGTAGACCGTAGGTGCTGCCTCGCTGAAATCTGTTTTGACAGAATGCCTGCTTGTTCGAGTCTATCTAACTCTTTGTTTATTTGATCTAGAGCAGCGAACGGGGCATTCCGTTTCTTTTTGAATACCGGTTGTGCACCGTCCTTCACCTTGAACTTAGCTTTCATTTTAGTACATTTCTCAAGGCCGCCAGAAAAAACCTGGGGAAATTGTTGTTTGAGTTCCTTTTTTAGATTTACCAAATTGGACGTTGCGACAAAATGTACTCATTGGGCAATCCCAAAGATTGAATTTTTGTATCCAATCAGTTCCAAATAAGTTGTCTGAAGTTTTCAATACGTAGGCTTTGAGCTTTTTGGTAACTCCATTTAATGTTACTGTAAGTATTACCTCATCTAAAATGTTAATCTTTTCGCCAGTTACGGATTTTGCTGTTTTATCCGTTTTTAATAAGGTCGGCTTGTTCAATTTTCGCCAAGTACGCCAGTTAATGGTTGAAATATCAGAACCCGAGTCAAGCTGGAATTTAATGGACTTATTGAAAATATCCACAGTTACATATTTTCTTAAATTCCTATCGACAATATTGTCAGATTGAGCTTGCCTAATTTTATTTTTGGGTTTTCTCGTTCTGTTGGTGTACCAGCACGAAGTTAAAGTATGACCACTTTCATTGCAATTTTTGCAATATTTTTTGTTCTTAACTGGACAGAATTTCATCCAATGCCATTTACCACAATGGTAACATGGTCCGGGCGGTTTCTTTAAATTATTTGGGTTTTGGTTACTGCGGAATTTAGGACATGAGATTTGCCTTTTGTCTTTTTGAAGAGAATAGGAGGTAGACTTACTTCTGATTTTATTACTCTGAGTCACACCTGATTCCTCGATAGTGTTTGAGTCACGCTTTACAGATATTACTTTTTGACAGTCCTTTGGCAGTTTTTGGAGAGTCAATCCTTGTTCGTTGTCAAGCTTGGTCAGTATCCGTCGTCTGACTTCGGTGTCTTCTGCTGATACTAGACCTTGTGCGAAAATCAAGCACTTAAAATCATCGGCAGTCAGTTCGGCTAGTTTAAAATCATTACAGAGCTTGTTTACCGATACTGCAAACGTTAGAAAATTTTGCTGGTTGTTTTTGACTGTGTTCAAACATTTCCAACGTTTGTGGAACAAGGTTGTGTTAGACCCGAATAGTTCCGATAGGAGCTTAATAGTCTCTGAAAAATCCAAGTCAGTCGTTTTCTTAGGTAGTATGAAGTCTACGAACCTACTATATTCTGTAGTTCCCAGTTTTCTCAATAGTACACGTACCTTTTTTTTACTGGACCATTGTTCACAGTCTACGTTGAAAATATCTTCGTAGCGCCTGTAAAAAGCGTCGAACGTTTTGTCTTCCTCTGGTACGTATTCAAAGGTTTCCATTGAATTGTAGATTATACTCTGGGAGAATATTGTATCTTTTTCAGAGTTTGAGCCTTTTAATGCATTTATGAGTAATTCTTCAAGTTGTTTCTGTTGTAGTTCAGCATTCTGAAGCGTAATTTTTTGGAATTCCATTTGTTGTTTATGTAATTCCAAAAATAGTTGTTGTCTTTCTTCTGATTTTTGTTGCTGATCCAAATTTAGTTTTAACATTTGGGCAACTACTTTTTGCAAATCTTCCATATTTAAAAATGACAGCGCTTTTTTTGTTGCTTTGAAACACGTGTACTAAGAGGAGGTACACACACAAAAAAAATCTCGATAGATTTTTGTTCCTTTTTTTTTTCTTTTACAGAAAAAAATATGGACAGACAATATTTAAACTAAACTAATTATGTGTTTAGCTTTTTTCCCCCGTGGTTCCGTTAATTTTGACGTAATTGAATAAATTTTCATCACACTTATGTATTTTTTTTTATTTTTATTAGAAAGGTACAAAAAGAGAAAACTCACCTCAGTGAATTTGAGGGGAGAATAATTTTATGCCCGAGTTCAACTCAGTTACATAAAAAAATCTTTCGATAGTTTTTTTCCGAAAACTTGAGTACAATGGTAATACTTGCTCTTGTTATTTGGACAGACTTTAATATTCCGTAGATGTCGAATCGCTAGTTCGTCACTGATGTTTGGTATTGGAATATATATTATTTTTTTTAGATGTAGACGCTGGGTGTTTAGCTTTTAAATCGCTAATGTGTTAATACCAGCTTAATTTCTCGTTCAACACTGCTGTGGGAACGCGTGGAATTTGTGTATTTTCCGAGTACTCTGTTGCTATTGATATGGTGAGAACGAAATTCTCGAATCATTTCTGTCGCCACTGTTGTGGGACTGGTAAGGTATTGCGGTTTTTCGACGTGAATGCGTTTCTAGAATTCTTCGTTGACCCAAATGTGGGATTGGTAAGGTATTTAGGTTTCGCCGTGAGTGCGTTTCTAGAATCCTCGTCGCCACTGATGTGAGGCCAAAGTTGGGACCACAGAAGTAAAACACGGAACACTGATTAGAAGTAAGAAAGATATATTAACAACAGGTTACAGAGATAGTGTAAGCAGAGCTTACTATAAATTAGTGTCCAACACTGGTAGTCGTACTAGACTCTCACTGTCTCTCTCTGTCACTCCCTGTCACTCTCTAGAGTGCTATGTCGCCTACTTAATATAGGCCTGGAAGAGTCTATTGTGTAGGTAGTTTCCTGTCTCACAATAACAATGAACTTTTTTCCAGCCTAATTTACAAAAATATGAATGCGACAGAACCCGCAACCAGATCCCTTCTCAATTCTCATCAATACGTCGGGAATCGGGACAAAATGTTGAACAATTTAAAAAAAATGTGATATGAAGAATATTTGCTTGGTCTCCGAGAAACTTGCTAGGATCTCTAAGAAACAAACTTTTAAATACGAATGATGTAGTTCTTATAAAGAACCCTGCGAAGCCAATAACTTTTTGGCAACTTGGTAGAGTCATTGAAATTTTCAGAGGAGATGACAATAAAATAATCTTAAAACTCTTTTAAACGAAGTGATGGAGCATTAGAAACCTATAGCCTTAAACATCTTTACCCACTAGAGCTATTCTTGACGCATAACTTTTTCCCTCCCAAACTAGATCCTGAAGTATCAGAGAAAAAAAAATCGAGCATAAAAGTTCCAAATTATTAAGAATAACTCCAATTCTAACACATTAGCTGGAAATTCGAGCCAAAAGGAAAACAAAGAAACTGACTGAAAATGATTATGGTCACAACAATACAATACCTGTTTTCCTTGGGAGTTATTTTTTTTTTAATTACCGTGTTGCAGGCGGAAACTGAAACTGTTTCTTGCTGCTGAGGTGTCCACACCCGGTATGGCTCTACGCAGGTAGACACAAGGTTCCTTTCTGCAGGTCCTGTACACGACGAAGCTAAGCTTAGTGAATACGTGTATACCAATCTGTTACAACTAGGGCTTGTTGGGTCGACCGGAAGTTTCAGTCTCAACAGTCAGGAGTCAAATGATCAAAATTGGTTATTTGCGCATCGTCTCCGAGTGGAACTTCCGGTACCGTTTCAAAGATATTCGAAATATAATGTAAATTATTAATTGACCACTGACAGCGTTTACCTCGCATTTTTGAGGGACTTTTTTTGTGAGCCAGAACCTGATTAAGGGAATCTAGAAATGCAGACAATAGAGCAAACAAAAGCCAGTTGGAGAATGGATTTCGGGTTGCCAACTCAACGGATTACTAATACACTGAAACAACTGTAGTGGACGCCTACGTACACAACGCCCACAAATTACTCAACAGTAAGTGGACGGAAAATAAACAATACCTTTTGTACAGACAATTTACGCATCGCACGAGCCACATAAAAATTTCTCGTGTTTTTGCTTCACCAAACTAGCTATAGAAAAAAAAAATCAACGATTTGTCGATTTTTGGCCAATCACATTAAATGACACTCTCTTCAATATCCTTCGCACGCTCGTTCCTGGAGCCACCTTACATCTATATAAAGTAGAAATTAAAGAAATAACTTCAATACATTATAAATTTTCACAACCTAAACCACGTACGTGTATATTCAATTTTCTACTCACAAACACACACAGATATAAACTACACTCACACAACACAGTGTACTATCTGTTTTCAAGCCAAGTGAACTATTCGAACTATATCATTCTTCTGCACAAGTATTTCAACTTTCAAACTCAAACATCAAACATTCTTAAACTACCAACAAATTTAAACAAAAGACATGATTACAACATATTTGTTCTTCACACAATACAAGGGAAACCACATCGTGTGACTTAATCTCTATTGTTGTTAACAGAATTATATGTATATGCTTGTTTTAATACATGTTTACTTATTGATTTTCATTGATTTCTTGTCATTTATTTTTGTGTTTTCTTTACAAATTTAAAGTGGAGTGTTCATATAAAAACGCAACCTTGATCAAAAACCCTTCTGATTCTTTTCTAACCAACACCATTAACTACCCTACACAACATTTCTCGCTTTTCTGATGTAGATTCCACAATGAAGATAAAGTACGAACTTCCCCCCCTTTTCATCGGGTTTTATTATTAAATACACTTTATGTGTATATCAACTTTTCCATTTCTCATGGATTTTATTAAACATACCTCAATGTGTGTATGTGAACCCACTCTTCTTTTCAAGGGACATATATTCCCCACACGATGTATATAACATACAAATAAATTGTTATTTGTTGATAAATAAATCTTTATCTTCAGTTTAATTTAATTTTAAATTCACTTTTTTAAATACATTGCTTCACCATTGCGTTGTTACGTCTGTTTTCTATGTACGTTGGGTCAAGAATGTTTTATTCAGGACAGTATCCGGAATAATTAGTAATCACTACTCAGTCAGTCAATTATGTGCCATGTATGTTAGACGATCATGTATCTTTCGCTACATGACTGACGAGGCAGATTGTTCCCCCTCAGTAGGTTGTCATTTCTTTCTACAGTAGAACAATTGCTATCCAAGGCTATAGAACCCGTCCTGCTAATTTGCTTGGGGTGGGGGAGGGGAGAAGAAGATTCATACCTTTCGCAAGGGTATTAGCATGTAAGTGAATGTAATGGATCTGACTCGATTTCGAACTCGGCTGTCCGATTCCTCAATCCGAGCCGCTGTTCATTACTCCACCGTGCCTCCAATCACTGCTACTACCTTAAATGAGTTAGCACCAACCACATATCATCCTCTGCGCCCCATAAATCAATAAGTACCACCAGGTATCCCGCAACAGGTTGTACGGCCATATCACATTGAAACACCAGTCCTCGTACGATCACAGATGTTAAGCCACGTTGAGCCTAGTCTGTAATGAGATGGGTAACCGCTTAGGTATACCAGGTTCTGTAACCTTGGGTGTGTGGGTGGTGTAATGGATAACGGCTCGGAATTGCAAATTGGAGAGCCGAGTACCAGTTTCAGTTGGTTTCGTTATATTCCCTAACGTGCAAATACACCTTGGGAAAGGTATGAATTCACCTGTTCTCACCCACCAACTATGAGTTAATTTAATTAGTAGAACTTGTATCAGTAAAAATCATTATTATCTCCAAACACTTCGGAAAAACTAAACATAATTTTCTGCTTTTAATTAAATAACCTGCAAAAAGTTGATAAGACGTAAAATACAAATCATTTAATAAATGGAAAAGTTGCAACTAAAATATTTATTATCTACTCATTTATATATAAGATTTTGTAGTGATAATTGGAACGAAAATATTCTCCTACCTTATTACGAAGTAGAGTTGGTGCGTCAGCCAGGGCCCGAAATATTCTGAAAGACACAGAAATGGTTGCGGCGGCTGCGAGAACGACCGAGACACCGCCCGGGAGGCAACATGCTGCAATTGATTCCGCCGTGCTAAGGCCACGAGAAAGCCCACAATGCTACAGATGTGGTGGTCCTAACCACTATTCCAGACACTGTCGAGGCCAGGGTAATGCAGGAGGTGCCAATAACCAACGAACACGCGGAACATATACGCTGCCGTTTGCGATCAGGTGGGAGAATATTTTCGTTCCAATTATCACTACAGATTTATTTCTTTTGCTCTTTTGTTCTAATGATTCAGTTGTGATTCATTCAAGTATGGTTGCAATAGGTTTATATAGGTTGCCTCCCTTTAAGCGTTTTATGTAAAATCTTGAATAATGTGTTTATGCGAGTTTGCAAATTTCGTATGAGTATTGTGAGTTGAAATAAATTAATCAGGAGTTTTACAAAAGAGACAAAAGGAAATTGAATTCAGTACTTACACCATACTGATATTTTTACAATGTTCTTCCCTCTTTCTCTATGTACCGAGTTCCTTTACGACGTGGTCGATTATAGTTCTTTATAGCTTCCTTTCTTATGTAACTGTCAGCAATACTTGCTCCTTTATGACTCATTTTTGTCCTTGTACAAACTTGTCAAGTAGGTTACTCGCTGCTTTCTTTGCTTTGCCTTCTTTCCATATTATGTTCCCAAAATTTCAGCTGTCTCTTCTTGATTGTTATCAATAGTTTTTTGTAGTTATTAGTCTCTCTAGAACGTCCTTATTTATCGCATGCGTTGTTCACAGCTCATAAAAAAACAAAAAACAGCAGTCTTTCTTATTACGAATCTCAGGAAGAAATACGCTTTAGGTACCTCTACGAAAACGCTAAAAAATGAGAGATAGCGTGATGATCACATGCTTCAAACGTAATGAAAACATAGTTTTATCGTAAAAAAATCTTATTATTAAGAGGAAGGATCAAAGTATTTTTTGATTATTTAAATAAATTTCGTATTCCTTTTTAGAAAATTCGAAATTTTGATTAAAAAATTTTTCTTGCGTCAGCGGTTGTACTAACTTTTATCATAGCAAATTTTCGCCTCTTTTTGCGGTCAGAGACACACAGTAATTTGGAAATTCTTGCAAAAATCAAATAATTCTCTACTTTAATGAAATTTTCAGGGCTTATTCACAAATGAATGAAATTATTTTTGAAATTTTTTATTAGAAAATCATGGTAAAAATATTTTTTTTACATGTTTCAGCCCATTACTTAATATTATGAAAACATGAGAAACTCATTGAGATAATTTTTAGTGACTATATTAGAAGAATTCTTTGAAGAATTTAAATCACCGAATTTTTTTTTTTTTTTTTCAAAAATGGATCTGGTCTTACCGAAAATCTGTTCTGAATCGAAAAAAAAAAAACAAAAAAAGGAAAAAAAAAACGCAATAAAATTAAGACATTATTTAATTAGAGTAGCTGTTAATGGCTTTTATGAATAATATATATTAAAGACAATATTGTCTGAAGAAAAAAATTTTCGACGAAAAATTTTTACAAGATTTGTTTTCATTTTTTTACAATTTTAAATTGAATAATTTATAAAAATTTAAATCTTTTAAAATTCACTTTCAATGGGATAATTTTTAAGAAATATTGCTATTAAGTAAAAGTATATATATACTAATTATATTTTGTAAATCTTTTTATAATCTGATGACCCCGAATATTTTAAAAAAAATTTAAATTTGCTTTTGTATGGGTGATTACGTGCAGAATTTCTGAGATATGGATGTACAAATCGATAAATCTAGTATTTAAAGGTCATGTGTTTTGAGGTTTGTAAAAAGAAAACTTCCAACTTCATCGTCAGCTCTCCCATACTTAACTATGAACACGCTCAGCTGTTAATCGAAGGTAAATAAATCGATTGACAGGTCAGAAAAACAAGGCCCCGTTGTTAAGAAATGTTTGCATAGAACATTTCATGCTATAAGTAAGTAATATTTGTTTCAAATCAGATTAATTTAACTTTAAATTTGCTAATTTTCCTCAAATAACGTTTCAAAAATATGTATTTTATTTCTGCAAAATTTTTAAAACCGAGAATTAACTTTTGTTTACAAAGGTGTCAAAAATTGCCGTTTTGGTCGATTTTAATGAAAAAAAAATCGATTCAGATCAATATAATTTTTTTTTGAAATACACCACAGTGTTTTTGCTTACTGGAAATAGTAAATTTTAAATCCTTTAACTTTCGATTAAAGCTAATATTATAGCTTCAAATTTTTCATTTTTAAAAATTCATTTTAAACTTTAGGTATACCGAATTAGTGGAGTTATCTAAATTATAGAAAGTTATAGAAAAAAAATCAGCTTTTCGCATTTCAGCAGGTGCTTCCGCGTAGTGAAAAAAGCCTGAGACACCTTTAACAAAAAAATATCTTGAAATTTTTAGTTGTGTGGCCCGCCTTATAATCAGCCATATCGCATGTGACCCACTAGTCGAAAAAGGTTCCAATGCTTGTTATGGACCATTCAGCAAAAAGGAGCTGTTAGTATGTATAACTGTCCAGCTGCAAGCAAAATACCTAAAAAAATATTTTCTATATTTGGTCATTCTGTGTAATTTAAAAATGGCTTCAATTCATCTATAAGCAGTTTACTTTTCCGCTAACTTTATAACTGATACATTAAAAACTTGGTATAATATTATCACTGATGACAGTGAGATTAATACACGCAGCCGTAGGTTATTTGTTTCTAATTTATTGATTTAAAAAATACAACAAAACAATTTTTAAAAAAATTTCATTTTCCTAAGGATATGTGTTGTTCTCTCCAAACTCTACAACAAACGCCACGCTAGTTCTTGAGAATTCTCTTGTGTAGTTCCTGCTTTTAAGAACTGCCTGATCCTTTTTAACTATCGGCCTATTAACCTTCTACCTCTTTTTAGTAAAGTATTAGATGCCCTAATCAACTTCAAATTGGTTAAGCATCTTACCTCAAAAGGTTTTCTTTCAGACAAATAATATGGCTTTTGCTTCTCTAGTTCTACCGCCGATGTGTTAATGGTTATTATTGAATCTGTCTATCAAAGCTTTGGATAATGTTGCGAGGCTCGGGCTGTGACTTTAGATATTTCGATAACGTCTGACAGGATTTGGCATGCGAGTCCTCTTCACAAGTTGAAGAACTAGGGTGCCTCTAGCTAAATATTCGACTTGACATCGTGTGATGAAAGTCATATAGAACGGCCACTCCTCTACATCTTTTCACATTAACACGGTGACCGTGGACCCAAGTTGTTTCTTATTTTCATCAACGACTGTCCCGATTTCATCAGTTTCCATTTTCCAGTATTTATGCAGATGACGCAAGTATTTACTCCTGTCGGACCGATCGGACTTATTATAACCGATAGGTTCGATAAGGTAACGTCAATCGCCATCTTATGTCTTTATTATTTATTTTCTTTTATTAACCTTTCTTCTACCTAGCCTTTTCTCATTTTCTTTCACTCTCAGTAATCACTTGCGTCTTAGTGGCATTATCACCTCGTTTAGAGTGAAACGATTAAAAACATCTGCAGAGAAATCATTATTACGAACGTTTTCCGTTTCTATAGCTAAAATATACTTACACATATAATATTCCTTAGTGAAAATCGCTAATGGTTTAAAAAAATGAAAACGTTATTTTAACCGAAAGTTTACAACATTCAAGAAACATTGTACTTAATCATTGTTTATGTATGGGTTTACGTATGAGAGAGTGTGTGAGTGAATAAATGAGAATTAAATAAAATTAGGCGTGCCATTCTAAATGGTCCCGTTTGACCATGACTCGTCTATAACCAGGATACACAGTGTCATCAATAAAGGGCGCCCACTGATTCTGTTTACTGATGTCAAATATCGACAACCAGATTTTTAAGTAAAAATTGTCATCTTACATCTCAATAAATTTTGTTACAACTGAATATGTTCTGAATTTTGTGAACTAAAGGTGAACTAGATCTTCTTTCATTATCACTGTGTTAGAGCGAAAATGGCACGTGTTCTATCATAAATTATATCATCATCATCATCATCATCAGTCCCATGACCATGTCTGTTCATAGGGTCGCTGCGCAGCTGAGACTCTGACTAGTTTCCTTCACATATCTGGGTTGAAAACCGGATAGGCATAGCGTGTCTTGGCAAGTAGATCGTGGCGGAGCCCATTCCTCTCTAAGTCAATCCACTGTCGATACCCACCAACTTGAAGGGTCGCCTTGCCATAGACAAGTGTCTGTTGATTTCATCTGTTGGGAAAGAAAAAAAAAACCTTGCAATTGTCGTTGACATATGCAGTGCGGTATTAATGTAGTCTGTCGATGGGGTGGCGTTTGATATATCCGAACACGTCGCTGAGGGCGCAAAGTGATAACAACAATAGTACTCTTCCGAGGTTGAGATGTACATAATCTTACTTTTCGCTAGTAAAATCTTGTTGATAATTTCATTCCAAAATGTCGACCTGAATCACGTTTCCTTCAGTTTGTCAGGTATAACTATCTTGTTTTATTTAATAAA